GAACCCACCACTCTCGGTATATGGGGCTGGTGCCCTACTCAGTGAGCCATAGGCACTGCCCTGGTCTCCAACTCTTGAGCTCAAGCAATCCACCCACCTCAGCCTCCCAGAGCTCTAGGATTACAGGTATGAACCACCCACCTGGTCATACTTCATAAGTGTTTGAACCATTAGGTCTGATTCTAATGCCATGTCACCATAGATGGTGTTTACTATGCTGTTTGACCTCAGGACAGTTTTCCCTAACACTTTCTGAGAAAAAAATTTTCTTCTCAGTAAGTTTGGAAGAGCTCTTTCCTTCATGGGCTGTTAGTATAGCAGGTAGTCTGTGTAAAACAATTTAGAATAATACCTAACATGTGAAGTGTTCAAAAGCTTCTGGTATGCCTGTTGCTGGCATTGTCACAGTTTTTAGGTTCTGACCTTTTGAAGAGCCACCATAGCCATAGTCATCTTGAAGCTAATATTTGATTTCTGGTTCAGGAAGACAATAATATTTGGTATGTCAAACATACCTAATACCTCTATAGAAGAAAGAAATGAGCTTGTATTAATTTCTTGCATGTTTCTCCTGTAACATCCTCCAAAATGGAATCTACAGTAATTTAGACATTATCATACCTTTTTATGGAAATGAATAAAAGAACACATAACAAGCTCAAAAGCATATTAATGTGGATGTTTCAGAACACTCACTTCAATTGAATTAGTTTTTACAACTTTTGTGTGTGAATAGCAGATTTCTCCCCATCTCTCATTGGTGAAATATGGTTTAAATTGTAGGGATGCTTGACATTCAGAGATGTGGCCATAGAGTTCTCTCAGGAGGAGTGGCAGTGCCTGGACCCTGCTCAGAGGGCTTTGTACAGGGCCGTGATGTTGGAGAACTACAGGAACCTGGTCTCCCTGGGTGAGGATAATGTGGCTCTCAGAGTCGGGCTCTACCCTGTGTGTCTTTGCATTTTCTCTTCTGTGCCTTTTAGGAGAATGAAAAGGTCCAAATGCTTTCTGGACTTTCACTGTCCTCTTTCTTCAGCTGTTGTGCTCCCGTTGTGATCCATTTTGTAGGACGGCAGCTTACATGTTCAAATAACCCTAATGGCAGAATTTTTTTTTCTCTTCAGTATCTCTCTGTTGCCCTGGGTAGGGTGCCCTGGCATCATCATAGCTGACAGCATCCTCAAACTCCTGGGTTTAAGTGATCTTCTTGCCTGAGCCCCCAGGGAGCTGGCAGATGTTTTAAATGTCCAGATTTACCCTGAACATTTTGATTCAGTAGTTCTTGGCAAAGAGCTAGATATTTGCGTAGCATAGATTCATACACATTGAGAGAGAGGCCATCTGTGGATTTTTCTTGATCCATTTATAATTTCCTCTGTCCTACCTAACCATAGGGCTTGGATTTTGCCAAAAACCACAGTACTTCTTGATTCCTTGTTTTTATAACCAGGACTCTTGCTTCCTGACCTGACTGTTCTCTCCATGTTGAAGGAAGGGAAAGAGCCCTGGACTGTGGAGACTAAAGTGAAAACACCAAGAAATTCAAATAAGGGGGAATGGATCAGAGGTGTGCACTCAGGTAAGAGCTCAGGTGTGCACAATGAAAGCCACACTGTTAAACACTGTGTGGGAAAGTCTGTAACTGGGGGGTTCTGTGCTTGAAAGAAAGGTAAAATCTTGTGAGCTCTAAGCAGAAATCTTTGTGTTTTTTTGGGGGGTGGGGGGTTGGAGAGAGATTCTTACTTGCCGCCCTGAGTTGACTGCTGTGGCATCATGGTCCACATCAACCTCAAGCTCTTGGGCTCAAGCTATCCTCTTGCCTCAGGTTTTTCTATTTTTGCTAGAAATGGGGGTCTCACTCTTGCTCAGGCTGGTCTTGAACTCCTGAGCTCAGGCGATCCACCTGCCTCAGCCTCCCAAAGTACTAGAATTTCAGGTGTGAGCCACTATGCCTGGCTCTATGTAGAAGTCTTTGCCTCCACTTGCCACTCTATTCATTAGATGTGAAATAGTTTATTTTTTCACACTTCAGTGGTGGTCCAGGTCAAACAGACCAAGGAAAATTCCTTATTTTATTGGAGAAGAAATCTGTGAACTCTTTGGTCTTCTCACTGTGTGTGACACAGGGAGACCCTTTTTCAAGGGGTCTCTCTCCCTTGCTGTGTGTCCTGTATTTGATTCATTCTGGTGCTCAGTTCTCAGTCCATAGAGGTCAGAGCTGAGGCTGCCATAGACATGATGCCTTGACCTCTTCAGGTTCCACCCCATT